ACTAGCGTGGCACTTGTTTCTAGTAGCATCTTGTTACTACTAGTAAGAGCGAATGTCCAAAGTCGACCCCGTGTTTGGCCTGTCACTGTGTTTGATTTGGATCACTCTACCTCGAAAAGAATGACATACCAGCGGACCCTGAAGGCATGAGGTGAAAAGATATGAATGTACATCTTGACAATATGATTGACATGGCAACTTTCTCGCATGGCAGAAAACTAGTACTTCATCCTTAGGGCAAAACGACTGAAGGAGCAGTTTCTTTTGCTGCTTTCTTCAGATACTCTTTGAAGTGATGAGGCATTTTATGTAGATGGTGTTTCAGTGCCACTTCTCAAACCTGTTTGGTTTGCAGGCGCAATATCTTCTCTTCACTGGTCTCAATGCTATTGGGCTCAGCTTGGGCACCGGTCAGTATGCCGGAATGTGCGACGGAGCACCGGAAGACGTGGAAACATCTAAACGTGGGGAAAAAAGAACGTAACAGGGTAACGGAGTCGGATTGCTGTCCGATACATGAGCAGATGTACGCATGACTATTGTGTACCAGGAGGTGTTGCAGGGTGACATGCAAGAAGTAAGCGAGGATCACAAAAGCATGTTTTGGTATTGATCCAAATAAGAAAGGATAGATCTGTAAGGAGATCAACAAAATGTTGTATTGTCAACTTTTGTTGCTCATCGACTTTGCTTGAAAGAATTACGCTGTCCTATATACATCGATTGTTCTCCTACATCGCTTAGCCTTTATGCTGTGGTCCATCTGGAAGCCAATAAATGTCACACGCCAACCTGGATATGAAGCGCACGTGCACAACAAGCAAGTCCAGTTTGGGCCATACGGAGGTACTGCGCCCTCGTGTGCGCAATCTCATCAACCATGATCGCCGGGGCACCGATTTTCGCGTGTCGTCTCACGATGTCCTCCCGCTACTAGTAACAAGTGCATCGCTTCTAGTAACAAGTGCCTTACTAGTAGGAACAATGTTTGCTATTAGTAACAAGTGCCACGCTACTAGGAACAAAGTGCCTTGCTACTAGGAAGCTATTAGAATTAAAATAAGTTTAAATTACTAGCTCCTTGTTCCTACCAGTAAGGCACTTGTTACTACTAGCGTGGCACTTGTTACTAGTAGCTTCTTGTTACTACCAGTAAGGCACTTGTTACTACTAGCGTGGCACTTGTTACTAGTAGCTTCTTGTTACTACCAGTAAGGCACCTGTTACTACTAGCGTTGCACTTGTTACTAGTAGCTTCTTGTTACTACCAGTAAGGCACCTGTTACTACTAGCGTGGCACTTGTTACTAGTAGCTTCTTGTTACTACCAGTAAGGCACCTGTTACTACTAGCGTGGCACTTGTTACTAGTAGCTTCTTGTTACTACCAGTAAGGCACTTGTTACTACTAGCGTGGCACTTGTTACTAGGAACAAAGTGCTGTCGTCACGTCTCGAGGTGGTCAAGCTTTTGTCGGAGAAGGGCGAAACTGAAAGGCCGCTGGCGGTAACACCGAGCAGTGCTGGACAAAAAAGAAAACGAAAGCTGCTGTGTGTTTTTTCAGATTTTTGTTTCTCTTTGCATGCGTTCAAGCCTGTGTTTGCGCAAGGCCGAATGGTCGCTTGACCGTTGGCATATTGATTTTTCAGGAGAGTATTGTAAGTCCAAAAACAAAGCAGATTTTCCGGAAAAAGATGCATTTCGTACGTGAGGCTCTTGATTTCAGGACATTTGGGCAATGGTATTCTTGGCGATCCAGCCCAATTTGGCCAATCCAGATCTATTAACCTTATGCCGCTGGGGTTTGATTCGGTTTGAGCACGTGTTTTCTCGGGCCGTGGAGCACATGTTTTCGTGAATTCCAAGGCAAGCAATTTGGAATGCCCCATGGCAGCATTGGAATTCACAGCATTTTCACAGATTGGGTTTGCTGTGAGCAGAAAAAGACTGACTTTGTGTTTGCAATGGTTGGGGAACGTGAGAAGATCCACCATCAAGAATAGATGCAACCAAGGATTGCTGCCTTGATTATTCTGGCCCTTGGCTACGCAAAGTTTGTGATGCCTGCAGTGCTCTTCTTTGCGTCAAGGAAGGTTAAAACGATTTGAAAGGGAGATTGTCGGGCCGATGGGAATTTGGACACGGAACTGGGGTCTGACGAGTTGTTACAAGCGCTGGCAGCGGCAAGGAGTGTGGAATTGATGTTGGTGCTCTCGCTGTCGTGGTGCTTTTTCATGTTTGGCCCTGAGATCGTTGGAATTCGCTGTCGTTTGATTTGTAACAGGTGCATCGCTAGTAGTAACAAGAAGCTACTAGTAACAAGTGCCACGCTAGTAGTAACAGGTGCATCGCTACTAGTGGCATCCGACGTTCTTTTTTGTTCACCCGCTCGGCGGTGCCTTAAAAATCACGAACTTGTTCGCTCCTAGCTACGATGCACTTGTTACTAATAGCTTCTTGTTACTACTAGTAAGGCACT